AGGCTGGGATCCAAACACCGCTGAATCGGCAGTCGAGAGGTGACAACTATGGGTAAGGGCACAAACTTTCACTAGCTTTGTTGACAGAAAAATCCACTGGGGAATCTTTTCCCAAAATCTACATTAATAAATAAAAAAAAGTAAAAATGTAGAGAACATTTCATGAGGCAAAAAAGAAGCTTTGACAGTCATCTATTAAACTGCAGAATGCAGCACTATAAAGAATTCTACCATGAAGCAAATTTTATATTCTAAAATTACTTGAACTAAACTACTCAACTGAAGCAAAATGTTAGAAGTAAATGCTAAAATAAATCAACTGGGGAACATTAAACACATCTTCTGAGAATACTATTAACACAAGCACTACTCTTAAACTGCGAATTAGACACGATAGCTAGATTTTCCATAGAGACATACAAATGCAAATCCTTCCAGTGGGTTAAATAAAAAGTATTTTCATTTCTAAAACACATAACTAACTTTCAGAAATTTAAAAACTAATCTACTCCTCCTTAACCTACAGTTTTACGGGATGAGACACCGCATCTGCTCAGAGACAAGTCCTTTCGAAGCCAGGTACTGCCACCAAGTGGTGGTGAAATTTGGATTTGCAGATTGAGTTATTCCCCATGTGCAGAGCACACAGAACTGAAAAACGTTCCTGCAGCTGCCAAATATGAGCAACGCTCTGCTAGCACAAGACATTTAAAAATTAATCAAAGCAGAGTCCAAATATCAAAATCTAAACCCTATCTTCAATGTAAAACAAAGGTTTTTCCAACAATTCGGTCCTTTTGTTCAGACACCACTCATAAGCAGTTGGGTAAAGAAACCTTTTTTCCAATACAAATCCAATATATAGCAATAAAACAATTAGGTGTTTTATATAACGTTATGCAAATTCCCAATGATTACAACTATATCACCAGAGAGGTCTTATTTTCATGATTGCAGGGAAAAAAAAGAGAATTTTGTAACTGACATAAAAGACCTCATAAGGTATAAATATCCAGCTTTTTTTCTGGATAAGCTATCCACTCAATCTACATTCATTAGTATGTAAAGATCACAATCAGACTGAAAGGAATTTTTAGAAATCAGATATATTTGACTATTTTTACAGGAATATTTCACAAGTTAATTAAACAATATTGTTGGTTACCTGCATGAACTAGTTGTGAAGTGTCAACTTTCTTAAAAATTATATTAAGAATACTTTAACCCAATTAACACAACGCATCTTTCAACTTCAGAACAATTCTGACCTTATTTACTGTTATATTGAATAAAAGTTGTCATTCTTTTTATCCAGCATGACCTGAAACATATCTAGCAGTTTCTCATGATTTTTGCTTTTTTGGCTGATAACCACTTGCTGTACAAACCTTAATGTAATCACAAATGTTCAGACTGTATCTCCTGCTAATGTAAACAGATTTTTCAACTTTTAAAGCATGGCATCTTTGCAAATTATAAAAACACTAGCTGAAACAAACACTCTGCTTTTACTAATTTAATTCAGAACCTTGGAGTAATGAAATACATTAGTGATATTCACTCCTCCTTATCAACAAACTGCCTCTCATCCTACATTCTTTCAGTTACCAAGGATTAAAAAGCCAGTAAGATTCTAAGTAGCAGTACCAGGCAAGGCCAAAAAAGCCATCTTGTGCATTTTCAGATTAAGAACAAAAAAATTCTGTTGACCTGGAGAAGGTGATTGCACCTGCTGAAGAAAATACAAAATCAGAGCTTTTAAAGGACTCAAACCTTTATAACACCACACATGACCAGAAAAACAAGTGAGAAGAAAAACTCAGGTCAGCCTGAGTTTTTCTTGGTGTTTGTTTCTTTATTTTTTTAATTTAAAACAAAAACGTCATCACCAGAAGTGATTAATGGCAGAAAACTCAACTTCATGCTACCAGGATAATATGAACAAGATAAAATTATATGACATCCTCTCTGAGCCAAGGAAACAAAAATTCCACATACTAAAATTTAGCCTGTGCAGAATTCTGTATATATCCTATCCTTCTTCAGCATTCATGGCACTATTCACTAATTACACCCTTCTACTTTTAGGTAAAGCAATACTAAATACATTAAAGGCAGTTTCTGGAAGCTAGTTTGCTTTGCCTGGTATCTAAAAAGCTTAAAATATGACCTCACTTCACTGTACACACTTAATTACAGGGAAATTCAGCACAAGCATGCAACTTCTGCAACCTATCCTGCTACATGGAAATGTGGCCCATTGCACTTTTAACACACTGAGAACAAGTTGACTTTTTCCTAACTTTTTCCTGTATTTAAAACAAGACCGATTCTCCTGTGGAGTTCAGAAATGCAGTCTTTAAATCAGACATTTTAAGAACAAATACTAACAAATATTGGTTACCCCAATAAAGCACACTCACTGTTTGTAAACAGTATCTTATACCTGTGTGTTTTTAACTAGTAACAGATTTCTTTATTTATTTACAAAAGTCACAATATGATGTATTTTATATTTGCCTTAGGAATGTGAATGATTTGAAATTGTAAGAACAAAACTCCAAAACCTTTACAAAAACAAACAAAACAAAACTCAAACCCTACATGGAAAGCACACTAGCAGAGTCATCAGGAAATGCATTACGGTCAAGTGTACAAGAAAAATGCTTGAGCAAATAACTAAATCACATTTTCAGCTATTGCTTTAAAAGACAGAAGCTTACACAAGAAGGCAAGTCTGCACTGAGCTGTGAGAGTGAAAATTACTGTTTAGAAGTCTGAGATGCTGCAGCTACTACACTCATGAGTGGAGACTGAAGACAGAGGCAGCTAGGAACTGCAGGTTGTTCTTGAAAATAAACTCTTTCAGTCATCCCTGCTGCCCCTCTCTGAACCTTCTTCAGCTCTTCTATGTAGTTTTTCAGGCACCTGACTAGAAGAAGCAATACACGTTGCAATGCAATGCAGCCATGGTACACCACAAATTCACAGAACTGGATCTGGGTTTTGTTCTGCTCCCTAAGAGAGCACAATAATTTCATTGATTTATTGACTACTCAGTTGTCATTTTTACTGAACTCTGGGAACCTCAAGATCTCCTCCAAGCAACAGCAATACTGATCAAACATCCTAACACTGTTTCCACTTATTCTTTTACAGGTTTTTCTGTCCTCTTGCTGTGAATGCAATCCTACAGGCATTCTCCTCAGAGACCAGCTTTTTCCTACTAAATACAGATAACCACCATTAAGATGAAAGGTCTTCAGTTTCCTTCAGAAGACTTCATGCTTAAAACTGCACTCAGTTATTTACACATCAGACTTTTCAATTAATTTTCTGTATTTAAACGAGTAATTAGATAACCACACAAATTAAGAAGAAACAGCATAAATGGCAAGCTTTAAGTACTGAAAGCATTAGAAGGCACAAGGAACAGTTTACTGAATTGAATTTTTTAGAAGGCACAAGGAACAGTTTACTGAATTGAATTTTATTTAATTTTACTGTCAATTCAAGTCCCTTTTCTAGCCATAATTCTTGTTTTACACTCATCCTTAGATGAAGTATTTCCTTTTGCAGAGTTACATTCATTTCTTTTCTCAAAGCAGCATTTCAGAAACCAGCAAAGTCAGGCTAAGGCAGTAAACATCTTCTACACGTAAGTATATGCATAACACAGCAGTAGAGCTTATTTTTAATCGTTCACAGTTCAGAAGACAATTCATAATCAAAGTCCTGAATCAGTTATACATTATACAAAAGATCAACACTCCATAGAAGAGTTATTTTAAATTCCCCACAAAGCACTCTTCTATAATCAGTATTTTAAAGTTGACAGCAACAGCTCTGAAGAAGTCTTAGTGGAACAGAAGATATGAACAAAGCAGTTCATGTCTATTTTAATATGTACATACTACAATTTCCAAGCAATATTAAGTCTACATAATAATTGGAGCTTGGAATTGAGGAACAAACTCATTTAAGCAAATGGGATCTCCCTCTCACCTCTTCAAAATATCAAGTCACTGCAAGCAGCTACATTCTGAGATGGCACGTAAGTCAAACAGCACGCAGGAAACCTGAGGAGACAGCTTTGGTTTGTTGCACAGGTCTCTGTAGTTGAGAGTCCATCATGCCATGTCTCCAAAGTAGAGAACTTACTGAACTGTGGGGTCTTACCTAAAGATTCTCTTGAAAGACTCAAGCTAAAACGGATTAAAGCTCATTGTCATATGTTTCACACAATTATATGGAGACAAGATTAATTTTATAGTTCAAATTATCCCTGAAGTAGCAAGTAAATGGAAGAGAAAAAGATAAGCTTCTTAATTCTTTTTCTCAAAATAACAGAGAAAGGGGTGGGAGGAAGGAGGAAAATGCCAGTTACAGGAAATTTTTCCTAGATGGACACTTTGCAATTGCAAATGAACACTTAAGTTCTACCAGCAGTGAATCTCCATAACCTTTGTATTTCAAATAGCTTGCAAATGGGTTCCTAAAGACAGGAAGAGAGGAGAAAATTCCAACAGAATTTCATTGTTTAAAACTTGAAATGCTATTCTGATAGTTGGTCAAATTTCTCAAGCAGTTATTTATTAATATATTAAGTGCAAGTTTAACATGCTGCTTTTACAGTGCAAAGTACATTTTCAGTACTTTGAAACCAAGTAGATAACATGTAGAGAACAAAATTATTTAAAGCGCTCATAATTTTGTCTCTCAACAACTAGCAAAACACCATGACAGCTTTTAAACTATAATAATTTATGGAAGAAAAACATTATTATCATCATAATATTAAATAATGGGGAAAATATCTTTTGTTCCTCTTTTGGTTTTGTAGAAGTAACACTGCACCATTACAGTACATACACATACATTACAGTAATCAAGATACAAAGTTCAAGAAAATTTTTACTGATAATTTTTCTGCAGGTTTAGCAGTATATGCAAACGGCATTTTTTGGGAAAAAATCCACCAACACAAAACTCCTACTCACCTTTGCTTGTTTGATTTACATTACGCTGTAAGATCCACTTCCACATTAAAACAAACCTGCAAAATAAAACAAGAACTTACTGTACAGCTGTCATTGTTTTCTGCTTGTGTCCTAGGCTATGAGACAGGATTAGCAAAGCAGGGAGGTAAGAAATCCCCAGCCATAAAAGTATTCTATCTTTCTGATCTCAGGGTAAAAGTATCAACATGCCAGTGGTCTTCTCTCAAACACGTGTGATTTCCAAATAATATAGCTATTGCCAGATTAATTTTAAAAATCTACCAAGAAGTTGTATCAAATATACACATGCTATTAAACTAAGTGGGCAGAACAGGGGAAAAGAAGTTGCATGGGAAAAAAAGCTCTGCATTTGCTGCTAGTGCCTTCAAAGTCAGCTATCTCAAGGTCCCTGAACAAGGAATGATACAGAGAAAGGAAATTGTTACAAATGAACGCTTAAAAAAAAATTTTTTAGCAAAAATTTTCAACATATCTGAGATAAGTGTTGGAGGACTTGAAGCCTGGACCTTTCTAATTTCTCATCTTTTTTAAGGCAAAGTTGTGTTTATGATTCTAAGGTTAGCTGGCACACTTAAAAATTATAATTTATTTGTCTGCATGAAAGCTGATCAATGTCAGATGAACTTGTTTTGCTCATGTATCTTTAGAACCAACTACACAAGGTCATTTTTCACTTCCTATTTGGAAATTCTGAAGAGACTCCAAAAGCAACTGAAGCTGCACAAAAGCGAGAATGGATTAGGGTATGGTACCTCTATAGAACTGGGTCTACTATTGAAGACACAACTAGTTGCACAGAGCTTTACAAAAAGGGTAGGTTGTTCTTACCGAGACTAAATGTTTAGGCATCATCAGAAGTGACTCTGAATGAAATAACTATCATCATACACCGCCCATATCTCATTTTATTCACACACAGCTTTTTGATTCACAGTTCCCCAATCAAGCTGCAACCGTCTCAAAGCCCCTTGCCTAAATTACAAAGACAGACAGTAAGGGAAGACTTTTCAAAAAAGTCTGACTGGATAATATAAAGCAACAGAAGATAAGTATTTGAGCTCCCTCCTTTTCCTAGCCCCAGGATTGTGTCCCAAGCATCATATTAAACTGTAGCTTTATGCATGAATGTTATTCAATATACATACTCATTCCTCAAGTAAGATTTATTACAGAAAAAATATAATACTTTGGTCAGATTTTAAAGTAATATTCATTCACCTAGAGAAGCAGAAGTGTTACTTTCAAACTGCAGTGGAGCTCTACTGTATGTTACAGAAAGTAAATGTAAAGCTACAGTTATATTCCCACAAAAATAACAGCCTCCATATACAAAGAGCCAAAACACCTTCCATAAAATGAGAAAGGAAGTCAATGGTCATGACTTTACATGATCAAACATGATGATGAGCACTAAACCAGACATCTCAGTAAGGCTGTGCACTTTGGCTGGGGAGTGACAACCCCAATCTAACACTTCCTTAATTAAGAACCACAATGACTCTGCTCCCGTGCAAAATGGCCTCAACACCTACATCTTCTAAACTCTGCAATGAGTGAAACATTAGCAATAACTGTTCTCAGCACAGATTTCATGGCTTGTGACTCAAGTGCAGACAGAATCTTCCGAAGGATTGAACCCAGACAACTGCAGATCACTGGGGTGATACAGCAGTACAGTGTCACACCACCCACCACTCTCTGTAACAGCCCTTCAATAGGAACACTTTACTTTGGATCCATCAACTGACTTAGTATAGGGAAAGACTTCCCATTTTATGTTACCAATTTATCTAGAGGACATGTACTTCAAGGTGCACTTTGCAGAAAACTTAAATGCAAGTACTCTTGCATTTCATTATTCTTTGGATCACAGGGAGCTCACAAACCAAGCTGGGGATAAATCTGGGATTATTCTACATCTGGCACAGAGGGAAAAAGAAGGAAAAAGAGAAGATGGGCCATCATAATTTAGATATTGTCCAGCTGAAGGAAAGGTGACAAGTTTCACAAAGAGATCACTAGCAAGTAAACTGCTGAAGGACCAAAGGGCTGGTCACTGTAGCCCTGCACCAACTTCAAAGGGCCCTACAGAATTAACCCCCCTTTTTGGGATTTCAAACCCTCTGATGCACAAAGCTCCACCCAATGGGAGTACCTGCAGTGTCATGCAAACATCTTCATGAAGACAACACAACCCACAGGACACCAGATCTTAGCCCAAACCATTGATAGCATTGAGATTGTTTAAAGCCACCCACGTACAGTGCTTAACCAGCACTCACATCTCCTCTCGAAGGCTTTCTGCTGTCAAATAAGACTTCTCTCACTCCATTACAAACTCTAACACCTACTATTAATTTCAAGGGTGATGACATTTGAAGTAACTGAGCGCCTGACATTCTTTACCATCAGATTCGAGAAAGGTAGTTCTTCAAAAATTTCCTTAGGAAAAGGCAAAGATTTCAACATCATAAATGCTTTTGCTTCAATTTGCCTGTCTTAATTCTCATTATCAGGAAAGGAAGTGGGAATTAAAATCACTCTCCCATACCAGGTAATAAAAGAGGGCATGAAAAGGGTGAGAGAACTGACTAAGAAGTGTAGTTACAGAGCATTCACCTGAAGGCCTCGATATTCAAAGAGTGAGAAGGGGGACCACAGCAGGGAAAAAGGACTGCTGGAAAATGGTCAGGCTTCTGACAAGCAGCTTCCTGTTCTGATCTGGGCAGTGAACAGGAAGTGGAAGAAAACCGAAATGGTAGAGATGAAAGAGATCACAAATGCACCCCCAGTGATGCTAACCAAAAAAAGACGGACTGAAAACTCTTGCTATAATGAAGTATCTCCTAACAGCACATCCCCTCCCTCTATGAGGAAAAAGGTTAAGAAACACTGGAATGCAAAGGTGTACAACGACTTAAGTTTGTTGTAATCATAACAAGAGTTTTGACCCACTTGTTTACTATGCAGCCCTTATTTCATAACCAATCTGCATCGTAACTGACATTTCCATATCCATCTGGGAAAAGACACCCTCAGCTTTAACTACCACCTTCTCCTGGAATGACTGCAGCTAGGAATGAAATTCACATGGAAGCTTCTTAGGTGGTTTATTCCACTAGTTTTGTTTTGCTGTGTGCTGCTGTTTAACACAAAACCAGTTTTGCCCCTACAGCTGATTATGCCTGTGTGGGAAGAAAAAAAGAGGAAGAAACAAAGACTAGAACAACTATATTATAAAAACTACTTTTGTTGATATGAACTGTGGCTAAACAGTCAATTCCAACAGCTTGACAAAACACAGCAAAAAGGCTTGCAACTGTAGACTTGACTTAATGGCTTAGAAAATTTGATTAGTTAGTCCAGAGTGGCAGCTCCATTTATTAGGATATGACCATCCCAGTATTAAATTCAAATGCAGGGTGTGGGGTGTGGTATAAATTTCATTCTAATATCTGTTGCAGCTCTGGAAAAAAAATCTATACTCTTACAAAAATCTAAAAATCCTAAATATCAATGCAGGAAAAAATAGCCACTAGAAAGCAGAGGTTATTAAGAAAAGGCTATTACAAGAAAGCCAGAAGTTCCTGCCAAAATTGTACACGCAGTATCAGGGATGAAGTAATTTCAGACGACTGAAAAGGCAAAAACTTAGCTGATGAGAGTCCTACATCAGTTGATACAGCTGAAAAGCTCTTTAAGTACAAGCCTATACTGCCATTTTCCAAACAAGTAGTCAGCAATGACCTTGTCTGTACAAAACATAGTTTCCTGCTTTCTATTTGCAGAAGGAGCTTTGATTGTCTTTGATTTCTATTTAAAAAGTATAAAAACAGCTTAATCTATATTCAGTAGCCACAAATATCTAGAACTAACAGCCAGTGTAGATTAAATAATCATTTGAATTTAAACATGAGGTTTTTCTAAAACCACAAAATTAATCCCTTTCGAGAATTTGTAGAACCTCTCAATCTGTGCTATTCCAACTGTAGTTTCACCAACTGAATTATATATGCCACAATCCCATTTACCAAATTAAATTTGTAAAGAAAAAAATAATCATCACTCTTCTTAAAATAGTTAATGTAGAGCAATACTTAAGAACAGGCACTATACTAGAGTCTGAATTACTCAAAACTAAATTAAGCAAAAGTTTAACACTTTATAACATGAAGAGACAAAATTTAAGTCATTACTGGAGATGCTCCTGACTTCAAAGAATCTGCAGTGAGTGAACAAAAGCAAGGAAGAAACTGCAAGAGAGAAGACTGCCTCTTGCATTTTGAATCTCCTGCTACATTTTGAGAGTTATCTGAAAAACAGTTCAAAGAAGTTACAGTTTTTCCTCTGTCTGTTCATCACAGTAAAAGCCACACGCACAGTTCCCAAAGCTGTGGTAGGGCTTTCACGTGGAAATGTTGAAATATCTTATTTTTCTACTCGTAGAAAGTTTTGCTTTTTGACAACACTCCATATGGGACAGTGAAGCACTTCAAGGAAACGTGTGACAGCATAGGAAATGAACACAGCTGATCATACCTCAGACTGGGAAGCCGTTTCAGTCCAAACAAGATTACAAGTAGTTGAATGCAACATTAATAGGAATATCACAGTAGGGAAAAAAGTAGACTCATAGAGTAGCATGAATGGAAAAAAAGGAACCTCTGTTTATATCATCAATTAGGTCAAACGAGAGATTTAATTATTATTTGAAAAATGTGCATACCATAAAAAAATAAAATTGAAAAGTCATCACAGCAAAAAGTATTCTAGGAAGGAGGAGTTTGGACTACCAAAACATATTGGTCGAAAAGGCTGTTTTTCCTCTCTATCAATCAAGAGATCAGATGCAAACATTCAAAGATGTACACAACAGGCACACAATAAAGCTGCAAAGATGTTTACAGAGAAGCAAGGGGAAACAAACAGTTTGAGAGCTATTGACTTTGAGCATACATTATCCAGTAAGCAAATACGTAACAATAAGCACACAAATGAAAGCATCATAAAAGCACTAAACTGAAGCATCACTTTG